GAGCTGAAGTCCACAAGTCTTAAAAATATGGCTGGCTGGGGAATTCTAGGAGCCGAAGTCTTAAAAATATGACTGGCTGGGGAATTCTGGGAGATGAAGTCCACAAATCTTAAAAATATGGCTGGCTGTGGAATTCTGGGAGCTGAAGTCCACAAGTCTTTAAAAGGCTGGACATCCCTGATATAGAGTAACCTTCACCTACCTGGCATTGCCTGCTTGAAGCCTTGGACTTCAATTCCCAGAATTCCATCTTCCACAGCTAAAGGAATTCTGGGAAACGGAGTCCAAACAACCGTGAGCATCCCTCTCAGATTGTGAAATAGCCTCAGTGCTTGGCCTTGGTTTGCAGGAAGGATAATGGAACTAAGGCCAGGGGGGGGGGGGGAGGGAGGCATTATTGAAGTTGTTGGGATATATTTGTCGTGGATCAGAAAAGTATGTGTTTGTATGAATTTGCACCTTAATAATTTTTTTCACTCCTGTTTTGTTTTGTTTTGTTTTTCGCTTGCAAGATATTTTTGTAATAAAAGGTTCTGCATCATCCCTCAGATTTGTGTGCGTGATCCATGACTGAGCGGGATTTAAAGGCACCCGGGTAGTCCTTGAGTTACGACCACAACGGTGCCTCCTCCCCGTTTCTGTTGTTAAGTGAGAAAGCCATGAAGTGAATTTGGCTCCGTTTCTTCCCACAGTTGTTGAGTGAATCATGGTGGTCGTTAAGTTAGCCACACGGTGGTTATAGTGACTCTGGCAGAAGGTCGTAAAAAGGAATCACAAGACCCCAGGACACTGCAGCCATCATAAATGTGAGTCAGATGACAAGGGTCTGAATTTTGATCATGGGACCATGATGCACCGGTTGTAAGTATGAAACACGGTCATAAGTCACTGTTTTCCAGTGCCGTTGTAACTTAGAGCAGTTACTAAAAAGATGGTTTTAAGCCGAGGAGAGACTGTACTTTCCTTCAATATAAATTTGTACCTAATTGTTCTGACCTAGACCTTCCCAAGATCACGAAGCCGAACTCCTCGTCCCGATAAAACCCCTTTTATTTAGGTTCAAGGGAATTCCTCTCCAGCAAAGTCCCGGTAAAAAGTCTTTCATGAGATTTCACAACTACAGACCTTTATCAGGCTGGGAGAGTTGCCAGGCTGATATCTTCCAAACGCCATGCTGTAGCAGCAAATACTTGGCAAGAAGTCAGGAACAAATCTTCACCCGAATGAATTGAACTAATTGCCCCTTGCAAACCCGACTCCCCTTTCGCTCCTCTTTGTTCACTGGGGGCCATTCACTGTCCACCTGAGCCTTTATTCCCGAGTTGGCCCTTGTTCCTTAGCTGTTCCCTTCTCCTGGCAGCTCTGCACATGTGCACACTGGGAACAGGCTCCGGCTGTTCTTCTTCCTCACTGATCTCCGATTCCGAAGGCAGCTGATAACTGTCAGTCAGCCCTGGCCCCATCTCTGTCTCTGACGCAGAGCCCTCATCAGAACCTTCCCCAGACTCCAGAACTGGCCCATGTTTCT